ACTGCTTTCATGAGTGTTGTCAGTGGATCCAAGCAAAATTAAGTCTTTGACAACTTCAGTCTTCTCTCAATTTATTGGGATGTTATTTATTGGTCTAGTTATGAGGATCTTTGATTCTTTTACATTGAGGTGCAATCCATACTGAAGGCTATAGTCTTTGATCTTCATCAGTATTTTATGTCCTCTTTGCTTTCAGCAAGCAAGATTGTTATCATCTGCATGTTCTTAAGGAGTCTTCCTCTAACCGTGATGCCATGGTCTTCTTCATATAAATCTAGTTTCTCTGATTATTTGCTCAACATTCAAACTAAATAAGTATGGTGCACAAATACAGCCTTGGCGCCCACCTTCCCTGATTTTAAACCATTCAGTGTCCCCTTGTTCTGTTCAAATGACTGCCTCATGATCTGTGTACAGGTTTCTCATGAACACAAATAAGTGTTCTGGAATATCCATTCTACACAATGTTATTCATAACCTGTCATGTTGTTGTTGTTAAGTGACGTGGAGTCGGTTCCGACCCATAGCAATCCTGTATAATAGTGTTTCCGACTTGTGGCTGGTGAGCTTGAACCACTGATCTTACAGTTCAAACCTACCTTGCAACCCAGTACTCCCCGGAAACCCCGTACAGGGTCACTATGGGTTGAACCAACTTGATGGCACTTAGTAACAACAACAACATACTTCTAAAAACTCAGGCATTGGAAACATTAGGGAGCACTGCTTTATTCTGACACACATGGGGACACTACATGGCAACTGGTTTATGGTGGGTGGCATGATGGAAAGCGGCCTCCCCCACCACTCTCCCGAATCCTCCTGCTGGTGTGGCTACCCACCAGTCCATCAAAGTGACGTCTTCTCCTGTTTTCCAGGCAGCCAGTGAGGACCTCCGGCATGTCATCATTCCCTTGCTGCACACACTAATGTACGTGCTTTTGAAGGTGAGCTGGGACTGAGTGAAGGGGGCTGTGGTGACTCACACGGTGCCCTGTGTGGCCACCCAGCCCTGTTAGTGTGGGGCTAAATACACTTGATTGTCTGCCTTAAACTGGTTTCTATCCACTGCTGTTGTTAAGTGCTATCGAGTTGGTTCCAACTTCATAGAGACCCTGTGTAGGGTTTCCAACAGTGGCTTGTGTATGTGAACAGCTGACCTTGCAGTTAGCAGTCTAATGCTTACTCTGCAGCACCACACTAAGGCCCGTCTACCCACTAGCAATGCGCTAACACCTGAAGAGACAAAAGTGCAGAGAGACAATGGGGAACATCCAGGAGAGGGAGGACCTGGAGGACCTTGAATGCCAGAGTGAGGTCTTAGGTTTGCTTATCTGTGCAGCAGGAACCAACACTGATCCCTACACAGAGAAGTGACATGATTAATGATTAACACCTTAAAATAGTAGTCATTCACTGCATGCGGTTCCTTGGGTGGGAGTGGGCAGAAAAGAAGATGAGAGTCAGGAAGAGCAATTCTGTGGGTGCTGGAGCATCAGACAGAGAACAAAGTCAGGAATGGAGCCTGTGGACACTACAAGTCTCCCATGCCTGTGAGATGCAAGAAGGAGCCAAGAATATACGTGGAAATTAATTCCAAGGTTACTTCAAGGGTATTCTAAGGTTACTCTTCAGCAGTAAATCCAAGAGCCTGAGGAATGTAGACTTGCAGGCCCTGACCAAGCAGAGAGGTGGGAGGGGAGTTGCTTTGTGTCTTGGTTATTTAGTGCTCTTATACCAGAAATACTACAAGAGGGTAGCTTTAACAAACAGACTTATTTTCTCAGACTTCAGCAGGCTAGAAGTCTGAATTCAGGGGGCTTGGTTCTAGGGGAAGGCTTTCTGTTGGCTCAGGAGGAAGCTCCTTGTCTCCCGTGTCTTCTTCTGGATGATCTTTATGTGGTTTGACATCTCTCTTATCCCATCTCTGGCTTCATGTTCAATTTCTTTTATATCTCAAAAGACATGGACATAAAACATATTCTACAGTAATCATGTCATTAGCACAACAAAGAAAACCCATTCCCAAGTGAAATGATAACCACAGGCATACAAAACCCCAAACCCACAGACAGCAAGTTGATTCTGACTCACAGCAACCCCATAGTACAGAATAGAACTGCCCCATTGTGTTTCCAAGGCTGTCAAAAGCAGACTGCCATATCTTTCTCCCATGGAGCAGCTGGTGGATTCGAACTGCTGACTTTTCAGTTAGCAGTTGAGCACTGTGCGTGCCATTAGTGCTTCTAATCACAGGCATAGAGGTTAGGATTTACAACACATATTTGGGGTGGGGGGCACCACTCATCTGGCAGTGTGTCATATTGTGTTGACCTGTATGTTGCTATGGTGCTAGAAGTTATGCCTCCGGTCTCTCAAATACCAGCAGGGTCACCCATAGCAGACAGGTTTCAGTGGAGTTTCCAGACTAAGAGAGACTAGGAAGAAGGACCTAATAATCTACTAAAAACATGACCAGTGAAAACATTATGAATAGCAGTAAAATGTTTGGTCTGATTGAGTGTTGGAATATGAGCCCTCAGGTTAGAAGGCACTCAAAATACAAATGAGGAAGACCTGCTCCTCAAAGTAGGATTGATTTTAATGACATGGGTGAAGTAAAGCTTTCAGGACCTTCATTTGCTGATGTGGCATGGCTCAAAACCAGAAGAAACAGTTGCAAATATCCATTAATAATCTGAATATAGAATGTACCAAAGTATGTAGCTACAAAAACTAGAATTAATTAAAAATGAAATGGAATGCATAAAGATTGATACCCTAGGTGTCCGTGAGCTGAAACTGGAACTGATTTGGTGAGGATCCAACTCTTTGAAACATAGTTAAGACCCAGGAGACTGTGGTCCCACCCTATAAAACCAAGAAGACCCTGCTTCCTGTGCTTTCTCCAATAGTTCTGCTGATCTCTGAACTGCTCAAGGATGGTCCTTTTCTCATCTTAGAGGACAACAGATATACCTTCTTCGTTTTGTTTCCTGTCTGTAGAATTCCAAGAGGCTGACAGTTTTCTTTCCTTTAATCCTGTTTCTGTCCCCTTCAGTCTAAGCTGATAGGTTTTCTGCTGTAGTGGTTGGTTAGATTTATCAGTCACAGGCTTAAAAACCTCTTTAACAAAAGGTTGTGTAGCCATGTCCTTGGTGAACATTCTAAGACACATGTTCTTAGTTTTCACAGTAGAATTTCCCAAGTCTTTAAGTTCTGTTTTCATTTTGCATAGTTCATTTTTAAGTCCATCTCTTTCCTCTTTTGGAGTCAGAAAACCAAAAGAGAAGAACACGCTCAGCATTTCTCAAGCTGGGGGAACTGAAGAAAAAATTCAAGCCTCGACTTTTGCTATTGAAGGATTCCCTGGGCAAAGTATTGAATGATGCAAAAAGCATCAAAGAAGATGGAAGGAATACACAGAGTCACTGAACTAAAAGGAAATGGTTGATGTTTAACCATTTCAAGAGGTAGCATATGATCAAGATCCAATGATACTGAAGGAAGAAGTCCAAGGTGCATTGAAGGAATTGGCAAAGAACAAGGCACCAGGAATTGATGGAATAAAACTTGAAATCTTTCAAGAAAGTGAGGCGGCACTGGAGGCACTCACTCTTCTCTGTCAAGAAATTTGGAAGACAACTATCTGGCCAACTGATTGGAAGAGATTCATATTTGTGCCCATTCCAAAGAGAGGTGAGCCAACGGATTACAGAAATCATTGGACAATCTCTTTGATATCTCACGCGCGTAAAGTTTTACTAAAGGTAATACAGAAATGGCTACAATCATACATTGACAGAGAACTTCCAGAGGTTCAAGCTGGATTCAGCAGAGGCCATGGAACAAGGGATATCACTGCTGATGTCACTGGATCTTGGCTGAAAGCAGAGAATATCAGAACGATGTTTACCTGTGCTTTATTGACCATGCAAAGGCTTTCGATTGTGTGGATCATGACAAGCTATGGACAGCATTGTAAAGTATGAGTATTCCGGAACACTTAATTGTGCTCATGAGGAATCTGTACCTGGACCAAGAAGCAGTTGTTCGAACAGAACATGGGAACACTGAATGGTTTAAAATTAAGAAAGGTGTGTGACAGAGTTGTATTCTTTCACCATACTTATTCAACCTGTATGCTGAGCAAATCATCTGATAAACTGAGTTATATGAAGGAAAACATGGCATCAGGATTGGAGGAAGACTCATTAACAACCTATGATATGCAGATGTTACACCCTTGCTTGCTGAAAGTGAAGAGGACTTAAAATATTTACTGGTGAAGATCAAAGAGCACCACCTTTGGTATGGATTGCATCTCAATGTAAAAAAAAACAAAAATACTCACTGCTGGACCAATAAACAACATTCTTATCAATGGAGAAAAGATTGAAGTTGTCAAGGACTTCATTTTTCTTGGATCAACTATCAACACTCACAGAAGCAGCAGTCAAGAAATCAAACGACGTATTGCATTAGGCAGATCTGCTGCACAAGACCTTTTTAAAGTGTTGAAGAGCAAAGATGTCAGCTTGAGGATTAAGATGTGCCTGACCCAAGCCATGGTAGTTTCAATAACCTCATATGTATGCAAAAGCTGGACAGTGAATAAGGAAGACCGAAGAAGAATTGATGCTTTTGAGTTATGGTGTTGGAGAAGAATGTTGCAAGTGCCAAGGCCTGCCAAAAGAACCAACAGATCTGTGTTAGAAGAAGTGCAGCCAGAGTGTTCCTTGGAGGCCAGGATGGCCAAACTTCATCTCTCATACTTCGGGCATGTTGTCAGGAGGGACCAGTTTTTTGAGAAGGATATCATGTTTGTAAGGTGGAGGGTCAGAGAAAAAGAGGAAGACCCCCAGCAAGATGGATTGGCAAAATGACAGCATCAATGGGCTCAAGCATGGCAAAAATTGTGAGGTTGGTTGAGGACCGGGCAGTGTTTCGTTCTGTTGTGCATAAGGTCGCTATGAATTGGTACAGACTCGATGGCACCTAACAAAAACAACTTTCCTCTTGTATTTTAGTATAAACAGTAAGGAGAAACCTCATGGCACGTTTAAGATCTTGCTTAGAAATCTTATCATCCACATAGCAAAGTTCATCATTTACAAGTTTCATCTTCCACCAAACATTTACATAAATTCAGACCGATTCTTGGCCACTCTATAGGAAGCATTGCCCCTCCTCCCTTGTCAAATCACATGCTCATTGGTTTCTTTAAAGCCTCACCTGAAGCATATTTAATGTCCACATTTCTAGTCATATCCTGTTGCTAGTACCAGAGGTATTCTTTAAAACGATCGTTCTTTTTCTACAATTCTCATCAGTTCCTTCTGAGTCTTCACCAGAATTACCTTTGACATCCATAATTTTATGAACCATCTCTTCAAGGCAATCTCAGCTTTACTATTAGGTACCTTAAAACTCTTACAGCCTCTACTTATTACCCGGTTCCCAAACATCTTCCTCATTTTAGGTATTTGTTAGAGCAGCATCCCCACTTCTTGGTGCCCTGCTTTTCTGGTAGCGTAGTGGTTACGAATTGGGCTGCGAATCTCAAAGTCAGCAGTTCGAAACTACCAGCTGTTCTTCAGGAGAAAGATGAGGTTTCTGTAAAGATTTACAGCCTCAGAAACCCTGCACAGGGTCGCTATGAGTCGGAACCGACTCCACAGCACATAACCACCACCACCATCCGTGCTGCTATAACAGAAATAATCACAAGTGGTGTTTTCGTTTTTTTACAGTTTAACAGGCTAGAAGTCAGGATTCAGAGTGTAGCTCTCAGAGAAGCTTAGCTCTCTGTCGGCTCTGGAAGAAGGTCCTTGTCTCTTCTGAGTGTCTGCTTCTGGGTGATCTTCATGTGGCTTGGCATTGCTCTTCTCCCATCTCTAGTTTCTACCTTGTGTGTTTTATCTCTTTTCTATCTCAAAAGAGATTGATTTAAGGCACCCCATACATTAATCCTGTCTCATTTACATAAAAAGACAAGCCATCCCCAAGTCAGATTATAACCACAGGTACGTTGTACTTACAAAACAAACTTGTATTTTGGATAGATATCATTCAGTCTTTAATAGTACATTTGAGTAGGTCATCCAAGAAGAGATGTCTTACAGGTGCTGGGAGAAGAGTGGAAGCTGTAGATTTGGTAGTTATGAACAACCAGGTGGGTAGAAAAAGAAGTTTAAGTCCCAGCCTGATGCCAGGCCTACTCTTCCTCATTTCCCCCCTTACCCCAACCCAACCCAGGGTCCTTCACTAACTAGGGCTCTGAGCACCCCAACTTCCTCTTTCTCTCAGGCTACAGGCATCACTGAAGAGCTCTACCGGAGAACCTATGCCTTTTGCACAAGGTTATTGACTCTGCCTACCCCCTACTGCACAGTTGCCTTGGACTGTGCAATTCAGTTGAAGACGGAGACAGCGGTCCCTGGTAAGAGCCAATGGGGGGGTTGGGGTGGGGGTGCCTTTTTCTCCATGATGAAACTCCAGCGTCACTCCAGACTCTGCCTCTTCCTCTAGGCTGCAAGGAAACTCAGAAAGTCTCCGCACCCCCTGTGGAAGGTGGGGAGCAGAGATTGAGGGGTTGACTGGCTAACATGGTCTGTTTGCAGGAACATTGTACCAAAGGACGGTTATTGCTGAACAGAACCTGATAAGTGAGCTGTATCCCTACCAGGAGAGGTGAGTGGCCCAGAAGGTCATTGCCTTCAGCCCTCTGGCTGGGGGACTACAGGACAAAAGAGGAGGCTGGCTTGGACACTAGGAGAGCTTACCAACTGTGACATGTGTCCAACAGTGGAACACATGTTCAAGGAAGGATGGGACCTACCCTCCTCTAGAGACCACTTAAGGCGGGATAGATCTCTATTAGGGGATTGGATTCAGAGCTAGTCCACTCATATGCAGAAGGTGGACATGGCCTGTCCTGAAGTCTTGTTGCTCCACCTCCATCCTGCCTGTGGCCATGAGGCAGCCTCAAAACCAACCAGGAAGCTTGAGGTAGTTCCACGGTATCTACGCTGTAGAGGCTCTGGCCACCATCTGGTGTGAAGGGGGACTAAGTCCGTCTGTGTGTATACCTAGATTGGATTGAGGCAGCATCCTCTGTGTTGGGGGAGGGGCTGATGGAGTTGGCTGTGCATTACCAGCTCCTCTGCGGTACCTCTGTCAAAACAGAGCTTGAAGCTCTGTGTTCATGAAGGATGCAGGGAGGAACAGGATGTCCAGAGGAATTTGGACTGAGAAACAATAAGCTGAAAGAGTTGGGGATGACACAGATGGGCAAGTAGGAGAAGGTGTGGGAGGCTGGTTCTATGTGATGAGGTAATGGGAGAAGATAAGACTCACTTAGATCAGAACTCAAGTTAGAGTGATCTCTAGAGGAGGATGTGATCACTGGGCCAGGATGTTGGCCCTTTCACATCCTGTCACAGAAGAGCAGGACTTAGGTTGGAACTTGCCACAACATGAGGTCGAGTCCACCTTCCTATATGAAGACAGTGGACAGCTGAACAACAGCTGCGCCCCTAGAAGGGACGTGTATGCTCTTATTTGCTACAGTCCGCACCACTCCCTATTGTCTGTCCCTCCTAAAGCTTTTTGAATTTGAATCTTTTGTTTTTAGAGGAACTCAGTAACTTAGGGAGTCTGTAAGGGTGTCCCCCTTTCATCAGTCCCATCCTGCCCCACCCACCTCTGCCCTCAGAGTGTTCCTCTTCGTGGATCCTGAGCTGGTCTCTGCCTCTGTGTGCAGTGCCTTGCTGCTGGAGATCGAGGCAGCTGAGGTTCACCAGACACCGGAGGCCTGCATGCGCCATGTGGTCTCCCACACCCTGCAGGCAGCATTGGGAGAGACCTGCCAAGCAGCTGCGTTACAGAAGAAGCTGCAGGTAACCGCTGAGCTCCTAACCCTTGTCAGTTCCAGTCCAGCTCCCTGCAAGCTCACCCCATGAACTGACTCCATTCCTCTTTCCCCTTTTCCTGTCCCATATTGTCTTTTTCCTTTAAAATAAATTCGTACAGTTTCACTAAAGGAAATCTGGGAAAAAAAAAAAAAAAAAGCAGATAAAGACAAAGAAGAAACTTAAAATCATTCATAATCTTTCTGTCCAAATCTAATTAACAATCAACATTCTTGGGTGTATACGCACACACACACATATGTAGTAATGGTTAAGAGTTGGGCTGCTAACCTCAAGATGCGCAGTTCAAAACTACTAGCCATTCTGTGGGAGAAAGATGAGGCTTTCTGCTCCTGTAAAGACTTACAGCCCCCAGCATAAGCAGAGTATGGAACCCTATCCAGAGAAGCAGCAACACCACAGAGAGGAAGCAGCTGAGGACTCTGGACTCATGGAGAGAGAGAGACTGGGTGCTGGTGGCCAGGAGGCCAGCTTGCAGAATGTGCCCTTTGGTTATTTAAATTATTATATATTCCTGAGTGTTTATGTGTACATCCTCCCCACCCCCATAAAACAAAACAAAAAACAGAGGGAATGGAAGCAAAGACTGTTGAATGATGTTGCATGGAGGAGATTATAATCATTGCAATGAAACAATGGTATAAAACTGATGTTCTCCCATGTAAACTGTCATGTAAATGCCTATGTAAACTCAGTTCACAATAAAAACTTAAAAAGAAAAGATTTACAGCCTCGGAAACCCTATACAGGGTCATTATGAGCTGGTATCAACTCCATGGCACACCACCACCACGTATGTATATATATGGAGTCCTGGTGTGGCAATGCAATATAAGCGCTGGACTGCAATGTTGGTTTGAACCACAAAGTCGGTGGTTCAAACTCACCAGCCGCTCCTTGGAAACCCTATACAGGGACGCTGTGTTGAACGAAACCAACTTCACAGCACTTAACAACAACTATATATATATATATATACTTTTTATTGTGAATTGAGTGAAGGTTTACAGAGCAGATCATTGGTTTTACATTCAGTAAATCAGATAGTTTACAATAGTTACTATCCCTTCCATGTACCGTCAGTTTAACAGTATTTACCTCTATTCACTCTAACTCTTGCATTCTTCCCTGTGTCTCCTGCTACCTTCATCTTTCCTCTGCTAACCTCCCTCTTGTTGTATATTACCTGCCCCCGCCACCCTAGGAACCATCATAGAATGTTTGATTTAGCAAGAAAATCTTTTCTTAACTTTTTACATCAGTGGTTTCATATGATATTTGTCCTATTGTGACTGACTCATTTCACTCAGCATAATGTCCTCCAGGTTCATCCATGTTGTGAGGTGTTTTGCAGATTCATTATTATTCTTCAGTATTGAGTAGTATTCCATTGTGTGTATGTACCAAAGTTTGTTTAGCCATTCTTCTGCTGACGGGCATTTAGGCTGTCTCCATCTTTTTGCTGTTGTGAATAGCATTGCATAGAGCATGGGTGTACATAGATCACAGCTCTTATTTCTTGATATTTACCAAGTAGAGGAATTGCTGAGTCATACTTTCAACTTTTTGAGAAAGCACCATACCATTTTCCACAGTGGTTGCACCGTTTTAAGTCCCACCCGCAAGTGTAGGAGGGCCCTAGTCTCTTCACACCCTAGACAGCATTTGTTGTTTTCTGTTTTTTGGAACTTTGCTATTAACACTGTTTAATGCTGGAGTAAGATGATACCTCATTGTTGTTTTGATTTGCATCTCTCTAATGGCCAATGATCGTGAACTTTTCTTCGTATGTAAGTGTTTCTTCATACATTTGTTGGATGCTTGAATGTCTTCTTTGGTACAGTGCCGGTTCATGTCCTCTGCCCATTTTTAAATTGGATTATATGTCTTCTTGTTGAGGTGTTGAAGTCTTCTATACATTTTAGAGAGTAGTCCTTTGGTTGATATGTCATTGCTAAGAAATTTTTCCCAGAATATGGGTTCTCTTTTTATTTATTTTTTGGTAAAACCCTTAAATACACGTAAATGTCTAATTTTTAGGAGGTCCCAGTCTTCTACTTTGTCTTCTGTTTCTGTGTTTCAGCTATGTTTGATGGTGTATTTATGCCATGTATCAGAGTCCCTAAGTTTGACCCTATTTTTCATTGATGATCTTTATAATTTTAGACTTTACATTTAGGTCTTTAATTCACGTTGAGTTCATTTTCATATATGGTGTGAGATAAGGATTTTGTTTCCTTTTTTTACAAATAGATTTTCAATTTTACCAGCCCCATTTGTTGAAGAGATTATCTCTTTCTCCATTTAGTGCATTTTGAGTCTTTGTCAAAGACCAACTGACCTAGGTGGATGGATTTACTTCTGGATTCTAAGTTCTGTCCCATTGATCTATGTGTCTTTTGTTATACCAGTACCAGGCTGTTTTGCCTACTGTGGCTGTATCGTAGGTTTCGAGATCAGGGAGTGAGAGGCTTCCTACTTTGTTCTTCTTTTTTAATAATGCTTTGTTTTTCCAGGGTCTCTTTCCTTCCCATATAAAGTTAGTAATTCGTTTTTTCATTTCTTTAAGGAATGATGTTGGAATCTAGATTGGGAATGCATTATATCTATCTATTGCTTTAGGTAGTGTTGACATTTTCACAATGCCAAGTCTTCCTATCCATGAGCGGGGTATGTTGGGTGTATATTGTTTTATGAGTTCTGGTGTGGCGCTGTGTGTTAATGTACCAGACTGCAAAGCTGTTTGAACTGCAAGGTCAGTGGTTCAAGCTCACCTGCTGCTCCTAGGAAACCCTATACAGGGTCACTATGGGTCGGAACCAACTCAACGGCACTTAACAACAACAACATATTGTTTTATAATATTGACAGTGAGAATGACAATAGCCATCACTCCTTGAATACCTGTCCTGTTCCAGGCACTGTATTAAACATTTTATAATTATTCATTATTTATTTATGCCGTTTATAAAATTCTCACCACCAACCCATGAAATGATCTCCATTTACAGATGGGGACAATAAGGTACAGAGAAGTTGATTCAAAGTGACTGAGTCAGGGTTTGAACTGAGATCGAACTGACTTCAGGCTTATGTTCAACTGTCTTCCAATCCATGTACTTCGGTTTCACAAACTGAGATTTCAGACTACATACAGTTCTGTACCCTACGGATATAGTATCTTAGTTCTGAAGTGCTGTTATAACAGAAATAACCACAAGTGAGTGATTGTAACCAACAGAAATTCATTTCCTCACAATTCAGGAGGCTAGAAGGCAGAATTCACAGCATCAGCTCTAGGAAGTTGGGTTTTTTTTTGTCTCTCTGTTGGCTCTAGAGGAAGGTCTTTGTCTCTTCTGAACTTCTGCTCCTACACAATCTTCATGTATCTTGGCATCTCTCTTCTCTGTCTGGAGCTCTACTTTCTAGCTTCCTTGTTTAATCTCTTTTACAACTCAAGAGATTGGTTTACAACACATTAGACACTAATCCTGTCTCACTAATATAACAAAGACAATCCATTTCCAAAAGGGACTATAACCACAGATAGACATGGAGGTTAGGGTTTACATGTTTTTTTGTGCACACAAAATCTATAACAGATAGATTGCACATATGTGCATAATATAGGAGGCACTGGTGATGCAGTGGTTAAGTGCTCAGTTGCTAACTGAAAGGTTGGTGTTTCAAACTCATCAGCTGCTCCAACAGAGAAAGATGTAGCAGTCTGTATCCATGAAGATTTACAGCCTTAGAAATCCCATGGGACAGTTCTACTGTGCCCTCGAAGGTCACTATGAGTGAGAATCTAGTTGATGGCAGTGGGTTTGGTTTGGTTGTTTGGTGATTCCAAAACACAGCCGATGAAAACCCTATGGCTCACAATGGTACGATCCACAGTTGATCACGGGGGTGATCCAACTCCACACATTTCCTTCCGTTGTACTTAGAGCTGCCATGAGTCAGGGGCCAACTTGATGCCAGCTAACAACCACATGTGCATATATATGCATATAAAAAAAAACATATTTTTTGTTGTTGTCCGACTTTGCAGTCTAGCACATTCACCCACAGCACCACACATCTATAAATACTATATGTAATAATATTTGTTGTTGTTAAGTGCTGTTGAGTAGCTTCTGACTCATAGCAACCCTGTAGAGGGTTTCTGGGGAGCGACTGGTGAGTCTGAACTGCCGGCTTTGTGGTTCAAACCGGCCTTGCAGTCCAGCGCATTAACCCACAGCCCCACACCAGGCCTTCACTTAAATATTCTTTTGAAAATATGCACTTCCAATGGCTGCACAATATTCCCTCTCATGCACAGTAAGTAGGATCAACACAAATCAGTAACGTGCTGTGATTGATTTATTTCACTAATCTTCTTCTCCCATGGTTGAGCATCTAGATTGTTTCCGTTTAACCCACTTATTTCCTAGTCTTTTCTCTTTGACTTAGCCTCAGCCCATCTACAAGGCCCACGGCAGCCAGTAAATTGGTGTTTCTTATCAAGGGTGGACATCAGTTGCTTGAACTCTTTGGGTGGGGAGTTGCTCCCCGGAGCATCCCAGAGGGGACCATTTTGTGGGCTGATGTGGAGAAGACTTCTGGAAGCCTGGACTAAACAGTGACTATGTTTCTGAGTTGCTAAGACTCGGGGCTGTGCACCCAAAAAGGGAGGATACCCTTGAGGATTTGGCTGCCCCCTACTGTCTTACCTCAGGACACGGTGTGTCCATCCTCTTTCCCAACCTAGGACTCAGACTCTGCTTTGTCCGGCACAATGCACAGATGTGTGGCTCTCCGTCTTGTTGTTTCCCATCTGGAATTCTTCCTATTTTGGATCCTACAACTTGAGTTCTCCTTTTGGCAGGTGTCTTCTATGTACTGCTTCATCTCTCCTTAGACCATGTTTCTTATTTTTGTTTTATCATTCCTTCTTTCAAAAGACATCATTCATCTCTTTA